CTAGGACAACCCTTAAATATGGGAGAGCCTGATCAGCAGGAGAGAATTAGAGTTGGGTGGAAGATGCAGTAAGAAAGGTGATGTTGGTGTGCAGCCTGGGAGGGAGGCCCCAGAGAAGGAGGGCCTGCCTACAGGCTGAAGCTGGAGAGAAGGACCCCCACTATCCCACAGTCTATAGTACTTAGAGAAGACAGCCTGTCAGCAGGAAAGGAACCAGCGAAGCAAAAGGCCTGAAAGCAGTTGCAACCTGTTAAGCTACAGGAACAAGACAGCATGTGTACTTCCACACCCCCTGGGCCAAAGAAGGGAGAGGGCGGTCAGGGGCAGGACCCCCTAGAACTACTTAACTTGTATGTTCCAGAATCCCTTGCTCCGGGACACTCTCAAGACAGCCTGGTGGGTGAGGAACCAAGTGCTCCTTGCAAAGACTGTGTGCTGGTGTTTTTGTCCTTTTTGCTAAGAAGTTTGTCCCCCAAAGTTGTAAAGTTCCATTTGGCATCCCATATACCCCTAGACCCCATTCAAGTTAAATCCCATAATAAAACAATTAAAAAAACAAGCTTCAGGACTGTGTTACTTACTTTGGACAAAAGTGTGGAAAATGCGTGTTGCCTGGCTGTGCAGAGCTAAGGTGGAGCCAGAAAGTCAGCGGACCTTGAGAAGATAGCGCTACACTCACCTAGGCAAGCTTGGAAGATGGCAGGTTAGAACATGAATAAATAAATAAATAAAGAGTGGATTTTCATGTTTTTGAGGGGAGAGGCTGGATTTAAGGATTTAAGGGGGCTGCCGTATTATCTGACCTGAAACAAATGTAGAGATAGGAAAAATGTCTCTCTCTGACACTCTTTTTTCCATGTCTGTGACCCAAATGCGGTACAGCACTGCGTTACTTTAACTGACAATTGCGCGGTCATACAACACTGCACTCAAATTAAATTTGTCTTTTTTTCCAAAAATGAAGCTTTCTTTCTGGTATTGGATCGCTTCTGTGTTTTTTATTTTTTGCGCTATAAACCAAAAACACTATTTTGAGAAAAAAAACTATATTTTTTACTTTTTGCTATTAAACATGTCCAGTAAAAAAAATTTAAAGAAAAATTGAGAGGCTGGCGCTATACTCACCTAGGCGAGCTTGGAAGATGGGAAGGTGAGAACATGAAGAAATAAATAAAGAAATAAGGGGTGGATTTCATGTTTTGGAGGGGAGAGGCTGGAATGAAGGAAATCAAATGTATCTTTTGGTGAAGGTCTGTTGTAATGTGACTCTGTCATGATGAATGTAAGGGGGCGGCCATGTTATCTGACCTGAAACAAATGTAGAGATAAGAAAGAATGTCTCTGACACTCTTTTTTTCCATGTCTGTGACCCAAATGCCAGAGAACAAGCATTTTAATATTTTTAACCTCCCTGGCGGTATGATTCTTTCCGATTTTTTGTGCTGAAAGCGGTACATTTTTTTGCATGGAAATATGTAGTTTTTTTATTGTAGGCTGTAATTTTTAGGAATAACTCACTGAAATCTGTCCGAACAAGAGTCTAGTAAACATCCCGGGGAGGATAAAACTTGAAACACGAAATCATAAATTATAATTTAATAAATAATCATAAAAAATAATAATATAATAATAATAAATTTAATTCAATAATATAATCAAACCAAAAACACTGAAATTTGAAATATAGCGCCAAGTTCGCACATCGCTGAGCAAAGTCGCAGAATCATTTTCAGTGTCTGATGAGGAATTTCCCCCACCAATCATTATCACTCAATTCTGCAAGTGGTTCTGATTTACTATCGCTGTTCTCTAGCCGGTCTAAACCGATTTTGACGTAAAGGGACGCTTTTTGGACGCCATGGACGTTTCTCAGTTTCCAGGCAGAAAGAACAGTAAAAATGCAGGCAGGGCGCCGGACAAAGCACTCGGGACAAAATGTATGTGAAATGGGTTGAAATAGCAATGACAGCAAAAATGACATTTTTTAAAAATTTAAAATTTGCCGCCGGTTCCTGCGCCCGTACGTCCCAACGTCACAGGGACCGGAACACGGAAGCCGGATGCCGGCATCGGCCGGAGGAGATGGCCGGGGACGCTGCAGGGGACACATCGCGGGAGCGAAGGACAAGGTAAGCGCTGCAGGGACCCCCTGAGCAACGCCGCATGGTAAGCCCGAGTGTAGCTCGGGGGGGTTACCGCTCTTGTTACTCAAATTTTACCCCGAGCTACACTCGGGAATACCGCCAGGGGGGTAAAATAAGGCTAGCAAAGGTTGACCCCAATACTTTTCTTATTTTAAGTTTGCTAAAATCTTTGTAATGTCAATGAAATGCCATCACACAGGTCACACGGGTCACACACACGGGTCACACAGGTCACACGGGTCACACAGGTCACACAGGTCACGCAGGTCCATGTGATGGTATTCAGGATTTAAAGGGACAGATCACTATTAAGGATTATTTATTTGGTATTTGTGTGCACAATGTATCTCTAGCACTGGTTATGTATGGTTTCTATGTGTCCTTATATGTATGCATTGGAAGACATCTAGAATAGCAGACATTGATCCTCACAAGCCCAGCAATTTATTTTTTCACTGCCTGGATACGCACGTATTAGATTGTAAGCACCATATTTATGTATATATTGTTGCGCTGCATTTTTCCTTTACTTTTTTTCATGTGGGAACACATTATATGCTAGCTGCACAATTTCTTTAGGAGGTTTATTGCGCTGAAGGTTTTCTATACACATTACTCTTTTAATGTCTCTAACCAGAAGAGGAGAGATAGTGATCAAAAATGGAGTTAGGCCGGCCATACACTATACAAGTTTCTTACAGTTTTCTGCCCAATTTCTTTTAGCTTTACCTTCAATTATGTAGCGCAAGGGCCTGCCTAATTGGATGTAATTACGTGTTCCTGCATGGCGACCACTTCCTGTTATCTCACATATATATTCTTATTATTAGAGCCAAATTTACCCCCCTAACTCCTCCCACATGTACCCCCCTAACTCCTCCCACAGTTTTTACATACATAGACAGTAATATACGGAAACGTGCGGATTGTTCCCGATTGGTGGGCTATTACTTTGTGGAACGTTTCCCCGAATGGTTCACGAAATATCAGCGTTTTTGTGGTGAAATTGGTCCCATAGGAATGAATGGCGGAATGTTCAAAACTAGAGTGGGAGCTGACAAAAGCTAGAGTGTGAGCTGAAAAATCAGGACATGATTTCTAAACTGCCATCACTCCCTCATTTTCAAGCCCACCTACACAAATCTTATATCAAAACGTTCAGCTATCCCTGCTGCCACTAAAAATGTCCACGGCTAAGCCATAGTCCTGATAGTTTTCACAATATGACCATTTGTTTGCAACTCACGCCGCCCATTGACATTCATTGAAACTCCACGCTAGCCACCTCAAATTTGAAGGGCAATTTCTAAACTGCGACTGTGCCTTCATTTTTAATATTTCAGAGACAGACTATGCATCAAAATGTAGGTCTGGGTCTTGTGATTCTCACAATGTAAAGCTCTTCACTGTAGGATTTATAATTTTTAAACTACAACCGTTTGAATGTGGCAACCGCCAGTGAAGTGAGCAAGTTGGAGCAGTTTGTTTTTAACCGCTCTTCTCTGCCCTTGCTGTAGAGTGAGTTGCCATAGGAACCCAGGTGTGTGAGCAGGCAGCAGAGTGACAAGCCACTCCCCCCAGTTACTCCGCCCACTCCAGTTGTAGACTACTGGTGTAGGCAAGAACACTTCACACAATTTCCCCAGAAATTGGAGCTTTTCTAGTTGAAAGTGTCGTTTAGGTTTGACCTCATATTATATGGTTATCGGTAAATCTAAAGCAAAAGAAAATTGTATAATGTATGGCCAGCCCTCACTCTTATATTTCTGACTCTACCAGGGGCGGACTGACTACTCATGGGGCCCCTGGGCTATAGGGGATCATGGGGCCCCTGTGTTCTTGCCCAAACTCAAAAAAGCCTATGAAAAAGGTACCAGGGGCATCTCATGGGGCCCCCTACTGACAGTGCCCGAGTTTCCAAATGGTCAGTCCCCCCTGGACTCTGTCTTATACCAGCTATCTCTCCCTGTGTAATTATGTATTTCACTCTATTTATCTTTCTGTTCTACTCGTCTGCATTTTATATTTGCTGTATACGAAGCATGAATGTACCTGAAGAAGGAATCCACTGTGCGTTCTTATTGAAGCATTCCTGTATTTCGTATGTCAGCCACAGGAATAAACGTTGAATAACGTGAAAAGCCGCATGATTTATGGGTAACATATGGCATGAATAAATATACATAATAATTTGCTGCTACATTGGTGACCAATAAGCATCAGATTTGTGTCGTTTGGTTCTGTTTATTTTTTAAATTGAATTTGTTTGTGAATAGTTTTAAACTGACAGCTCTAAGAAAGCGAGTTTTCCATTTATCTACATAAAGCGAGCCAAGCCAAGCAGCAGGCTGGACAAGTCAACATTTGCTGTTCCTGTTTAACATACTGACTCAATCTGGATTCAAACCGAGTTATCACTTAAAACGCGGACAGCTGGCTAACGCGACCCATTCTGCGTAAGTAGACGTGTAAAATGACGGGAGAACAATGGGATTGTTTGCTTTTAATGTCTTAAAGGTGATAAACAAATTAGGAAGAATATTTGGTGCTGGAAATAAAACATCCTAAAAGTGAAAATCTGTGCAGATTTCTGAACAATGTGTTCTTCAAAAACGTTCAGCAGGAGAGTAGCTTGGATTCCGTACTGACTGATTACTTGACATTCTTTCAATTGTGGTGACAGAAGAGACAAACAAAAGGCCACCAAGCTGCAGGTTGAAAATAGAATTAGAGGCAGAAGTACAGCTGGATGTGGTTGTTGAGCATCTGATAACGATTATTGCTCCAGTCTACTTATGTGTGGATACATTGGTGGTGCCGATGTATCTGGGATCTTGCTCTAAAATATCTCTCACTGGGTACTTCCTGAGTACCCCTTTGCCAGGATACCATGAAAGATATTCCCATTACACACACATTAACCCCTCGCCTACCGGGCACTTCTACCCCCTTCCTGCCTACCGGGCACTTCTACCCCCTTCCTGCCTACAGGGCACTTCTACCCCCTTCCTGCCTACAGGGCACTTCTACCCCCTTCCTGCCTACCGGGCACTTCTACCCCCTTCCTGCCTACAGGGCACTTCTACCCCCTTCCTGCCCACCGGGGCACTTCTACCCCCTTCCTGCCTACAGGGCACTTCTACCCCCTTCCCGCCTACAGGGCACTTCTCTACCCCCTTCCTGCCTACCGGGCACTTCTACCCCCCCCTTCCCGCCTACAGGGCACTTCTACCCCCTTCCCGCCTACAGGGCACTTCTACCCCCTTCCTGCCTACAGGGCACTTCTACCCCCTTCCTGCCTACAGGGCACGTCTACCCCCTTCCTGCCTACAGGGCACTTCTACCCCCTTCCTGCCTACAGGACACTTCTACCCCCTTCCTGCCTACAGGACACTTCTACCCCCTTCCTGCCTACAGGGCACTTCTACCCCCTTCCTGCCTACCGGGCACTTCTACCCCCTTCCTGCCTACAGGGCACTTCTACCCCCTTCCCGCCTACAGGGCACTTCTACCCCCTTCCTGCCTACAGGGCACTTCTACCCCCTTCCTGCCTACCGGGCACTTCTACCCCCTTCCTGCCTACAGGACACTTCTACCCCCTTCCTGCCCACAGGGCACTTATACCCCCTTCCTGCCTACAGGGCACTTCTACCCCCTTCCTGCCTACAGGGCACTTCTACCCCCTTCCTGCCTACAGGACACTTCTACCCCCTTCCTGCCTACAGGGCACTTCTACCCCCTTCCTGCCTACAGGGCACTTCTTCCCCCTTCCTGCCTACAGGACACTTCTACCCCCTTCCTGCCTACCCGGCACTTCTACCCTCTTCCTGCCTACCGGGCACTTCTACCCCCCTTCCTGCCTACCCGGCACTTCTACCCTCTTCCTGCCTACAGGGCACTTCTACCCCCTTCCTGCCTACAGGGCACTTCTACCCCCTTCCTCCCTACAGGACACTTCTACCCCCTTCCTGCCTACAGGACACTTCTACCCCCTTCCTGCCTACAGGACACTTCTACCCCCTTCCTGCCTATAGGGCACTTCTACCCCCTTCCTGCCTACCGGGCACTTCTACCCCCTTCCTGCCTACAGGGCACTTCTACCCCCTTCCTGCCTACAGGGCACTTCTACCCCCTTCCTGCCTACAGGGAACTTCTACCCCCTTCCTGCCTACAGGGCACTTATACCCCCTTCCTGCCTACAGGGCACTTATACCCCCTTCCTGCCTACCGGGCACTTATACCCCCCCTTCCTGCCTACCGGGCACTTCTACCCACTTCCTGCCTAACCCTGCACCCCAATACCCCTTTGACAGCAGTCCCCCCTGCACCCCCATATACCCTGTGAGAGCAGGCTCCTCCTGCATCCCCAATACCCTTGTGACAGCAGTCCCCCCTGCACCCCCAATACCCCTGTGACAGCAGTCCCCCCTGCACCCCCAATACTCCTGTGACAGCAGTCCCCCCTGCACCCCCAATACCCCTGTGACAGCAGTCCCCCCTGCACCCCCAATACCCCTGTGACAGCAGTCCCCCTGCACCCCCAATATCCCTGTGACAGCAGTTCCCCCTGCACCCCCAATACCCCTGTGACAGCAGTCCCCCCTGCACCCCCAATATCCCTGTGACAGCAGTCCCCCCTGCACCCCCAATACCCCTGTGACAGCAAGCTCCTTGCATCGCAGAAGACAGTTTATAGTCCTCAATGAACTGAGGGTACTGATGATCATGTTCATAGTTCACTCACAAGTCCTGAAGCTTTCAAACTAACAGTCCATACTGAGGGCTTGTCTGCAGGAGTCTGACATTGCGCCTGTGATCTGCAAAAAATATGTGCTTTTATTATTTTTTCCCAAAAGTTGAAGGTATTCTTTAATACCAACACTGGACCTGGGACACCCCTCCTCCAAACATAGAAGCTGTACAATAGTTTCCGTGAATAAAAAGCAATCTATGACTGGAGCATGGGTGAATGAATGAAAGGCCCGTCTACTCCTTTCATAGATTGCTTTTCATTCATGGAAGCTATTGAACTGATTTACTTTCGTTCAATCTGCAGGTTGAACAACAAATCTATTTTCCATTATCCACGCTGTACGGCACAAATGGATGAATCTTTCTTTGTGGCTCTTGTATCTTGACAGGCTGCCCCTCCGGCTGTCAAACTAAGCGGCTGTATCTGATTGGATGCAGCTGCTTTTCACCTGATCAGTTTTTCTACCTGGCTCCTTCTATTTCTCAATCAAGGGATGTCTGGTGGGAAGCGGCCTTCAGAGCCACTCACTGAGCGAATTGTAGCCTGAAGTTCATTCAGTGTATGCCCAGCTTTAATTACCATTACAGTTTATAAAACGACTTGATTATATCTGAAGTACTTCCCACCTACACAATATAGACAACAACCTCTGGAGGGTTTTGCCTGTATGCAGAATGTGGAAGAGGGGGTGAGCCTTTGTCTCAAAGAGAGGCTAACTTCCCAATTAAGGTGGAAGCCCCTTTAAAGAATATTTAATACCTATTGGGCAGCACAATGGCTAAATGGTTAGCACTTTTGCCTGGCAGCACTATGGTTGTTGGTTCGAATCCCAACCACGGCACCACCTGCCTGGAGTGTGCACGTTCTCCCCGTGCCTGCTCGAGCTTCCTCCCACACTCCAAAGACATGCTGGTAGGTTAATTGGCTCCTGTCTAAATTGGCCCTAATATGTGTATGTATGAATGTAAGTTAGGGACCTTAGATTGTACGCTCCTCGGGGGCGGGGACTGATGTGGATGTACAATATATGTGTAAAGCGCTGTGTAAATTGACAGCACTCTATAAGTACCTGTTATAAATAAATGTAAAAACAGAGTTTAAAGTATGTCACTATATATCTTTAAAGTGGACCTGTGCAGCAAATAAAAGCTGTCAGCACATACCTGTCTCTGGAGAATCCATCACTTCAGCAAGCCATAATGTCCTCCCAAACCAGCAATGCAAATAGTGACTTTCTTATCAAAAATCTAACAAAACATTCATATATTGCAGTTTACCAGTCTTTAGAAGTGGTTGCTGCATGTTTTTTCTTTTTTTTTTTTCAGGCTAAAAATATTTTCAGAAAGTACAAAAAATATTTGTTTTTTTTTTTGTATTTTTTATTGTATTTACCATAAAATCTTTTCTTTAAGTTCAGTGGAGACACCGGAATTCAGGATTACACATTTAAGTTATATGCTGCAGAAAAAAACAAACTTTGAGACTAGCCCTCCTATGACCAGCTTCTAGCCACCATGTCTGAGTTTTTTGAGGAAGCAGTATTTAAAGTAGAGCTCCACCCAAAAGGGGAAGTTCCACTTTAAGGCCTTGTCTCCCCCCTCCTTTTACATAAATGGCTCTTTTTTGGTGGCGGGGAGGATTCTAGGTTTTGACAGGTACCCGCGCCTACTTCCACTCCCACCTTCTAGGTGATCGGAGAGGAAGTTCTCCTCCCTGCCGACTCCCAATAGTCTTCTGGGACACATGATAGGTCCCAGAAGACTGCAGAACCATTCTCAATGCACAGTGCGGCTCGGCTGTGAAGCAATAGTTAAGATGCCGGCGCCTGGGACTGAAGAGCGGTGGATAAAACGGCTGCAGTGAGCACAGGGCTGGATCCTGATACAGGTGAGGGACTGTTTACTAAAGTCAGCAGCTATAGTTTTTGCAGCTGTTGACATTTAATTTTTAAACATATGACTAGAACGCCTCTTTAAGGCCAGTAATACAGGGGGCGTGGCCTTTGTTCCTAACCCTTTTGCTGATAGATCAGTTAATTGCAGATTTTAGACCTGAAGATTAGTTAAAACCTCCAAACATTATACATCAAAATGGTGGTGGTTGTAATTTTAAGATATTGCACAATGGCTTATTAAATGCATATTTTCAGTAAAATATACACTTGAGTTTATTTTAGTGCACACAAAGGAAATATATTACACAATTATTTTGTAATATATAAAAATTGAGCTTACTTCAAGTAAATAGATACTCATGTAAAGCCCTAAAATTACAGTGAAATTAGTTCAAACTTTGGTACCTAGAATAGTCCACAGGTGACACTTTTAGCCCTCATATGTCATCAGTTTAGCATTAACTGTACAAATGATATCAGAATTATTGCTTTCACTCCAGTGCCTGTGGCATTATAAAACTTCTCTAGTGCACTCATCATTTCCATACTTAGGCATCCTGGCACATGCTTTTACATATGTATTCGCATGTACAGTATGTGGAGGCAGGTTTTTTTTTTCAATTTTTTATTTGCCCCTTTTTTAATACGTTTGTTATCACATAGGGGACCAATGTATGTGATAGCACATAGGCAGTGATGGGTACTTTGAGACCTCAAGGGCATATTAGTACACCAGCTCTCTGGAGCTGTCATTATAATTATATACATTAGGGAGGGGATGTGGTGACATCATTGACCATATATGGACATAACCATATATGGCCTATGGCCATGACCATATTTGGTCAGTGATGTCACCACTTCCCCCTTCTGGCCATCTAAGTGAAGCATTGATGACAGCATTGGTGTCCCAACAAAGAGGGGCTTATTTTCTGTTATATTCACATTGAGTATGGCCCGCCTATTAGTGAATACTTTCCAAGAGGGAAAATGCTCTGACACACTGTCAGGTGGGGCCCAGGGCATTTCAGGGCCTTTCCAGTCCATGCAGAGTCAGTCCACAAGCAGAAAATATAGCGGAACGGTCTTGGCAGCCACAACAGCTCTAAAAAACCCTATAAAGGCCTATAAAAGCATGGCGATCTTTCAAAGGTATGGCGCTACATACTTCTTCCTTAAGTCCTAAAACAACCCTTTGTAAATTAAGTCATCTTCAGGAGAATGTGGTGACCCAAACCCAGCCTCTCCCAACTGTTGGGATTCTGAATCAAAAATGACAAAATGGGGTGCAGATGCTGTTTAGCTCACATGAGGGTAAGAAACGGACTCTGTAGGGGATGGTACTGGAGTGTGATTAGAATCCCTATGGACAGAAAAATCTAATGGCTGGGCACAAACAACTAAGTCCTTAGTAGAATTTTGGAAGACCTTGTTCCCACTCAAAAGAGTTAAAATACACTCTGCAGATAAAGACCCTATAATGATAGGGGTAACCAGTAATAAAAAGGAGGCAGGGCCTCAGAAACGCATTGCGGCGTTCTATCCTGTCCTGTTCTC